TAGGGATGAGGATATCCCGAAGACAGCATTCCGTACACGGTATGGACACTATGAGTTCCTTATTATGCCTTTTAGCTTGACTAATGCTCCAGCGGCATTCATGGACTTAATGAACCGCATCTTTCACGATTACTTGGACTAGTTTGTGGTAGTTTTCGTGGATGACATTCTTGTGTATTCTCGGGAGGAACACGAGATCCATTTAAGTATTGTTTTACAGATTTTGCGGGAGCACCGGTTGTATGCCAAATATGAGAAATGTGAGTTTTGGATACAAGAGGTGAAATTTTGGGGACATGCTGTTTCAGAAGGCGGTGTGTCAGTTGATCCATCAAAGATTGAAGCTGTTTTGAATTGGGAGCGACCCAAGAATGTGTTTGAGATCCGTAGTTTTCTTGGTCTAGCAGGTTACTACCGGAGATTTGTGAAAGATTTCTCCCGTTTGGCAGCGTCTATGACCCGTTTAACCCGGAAAGGGATTAAGTTTGCATGGAATGAAGCCTGTGAGTCATTTTTCCAGGAATTGAAGACAAGATTGACTACGGCTCCAGTGTTGGTGATACATGAGCGTGGCTTGGGTTATGCGATCTATTGTGATGCTTCACGTGATGGTTTAGGGTGTGTGTTGATGCAGGATGGTAGAGTAGTGGCTTATGAGTCTCGACAGTTGAAGACTCACGAGTACAACTACCTTACTCATGATTTGGAGTTGGCGGCAGTTGTGTTTGCTTTGAAGTGTTGGAGACACTACTTGTATGGTGAAAGATTCGAGGTGTACTCGGATCATAAAAGTCTCAAGTACCTTTTCTCCCAAAAGGACTTGAACAATAGACAAAGAAGATGGGTTGAATTCTTGGAAGATTATAATTTTGACTTGCAGTATCATCCGGGCAAGGCAAATGTGGTAGCAGATGCCTTAAGTCGAAAATCTCGTGGAACTTTGGCCTGTCTGGTTATTTGGAAGTGGAAAATGCTTAAGGATTTGGCAGAGATGGGATTGTATTGTTTTGATGACGATGTTGACAGCGAGCCGGCATTCTTGTTTAGTCTTATGGCTCAGCCTACTCTTGTTGTACGAGTGATTGAGTCACAGAGACAGGACCCGGATTTAGATGCCATTCACGCTTTGATCTCCAGTGGTGCGACAGTGAAAGATTGGGCTTTGTATACAGATGGGGGTCTACGGTTCAGGGGTTTGTTGGTGGTTCCTACTGTTTGTGGTGAGGACGTCTTACGGGAGTTTCACACTTCCCGCTTTGCAGTTCATCCAGGTGGTACCAATATGTATCACAATTTGAGACGTCAGTATTGGTGGAACGGGATAAAAAAAGATGTTGCACAGTTTGTGGCTAGATGCCTTACCTGTCAGCAGGTGAAGGCCGAGCATCAGAGACCAGCCGGTTTGTTGCAACCATTACCTGTAGCGCAATGGAAATGGGAGCATATTGCTATGAATTTTGTGACAGGTCTTCCAAGGTCACGAAGGGGCAATGAGTCCGTATGGGTCATCATTGACAGATTGACCAAGACGGCTCACTTTTTGCCTATTAAGGCAACAGATGATGCAGAGAAGCTTGGTGTTCTTTATGTGAAGGAGATTGTAAGGTTGCATGGAGTTCCAGTAACCATTGTTTCAGATAGGGATGCTAAGTTCACTTCAAGCAGCGTTTGGCTCAGCGTTGCACCTAAGTATGGCATTCCATCCACAGACTGACGATCAGTCAGAGCGTACTATCCAGATTTTGGAGGATATGCTTCAGGCATGTGTGCTTGACTTGGGTGGTAGTTGGGAGGATCACCTTCCACTTACTGAATTTGCCTACAACAACAGTTATCAGGCGAGCATTCAGATGGCTCCATTTGAGGCGTTGTATGGTAGACCTTGTAGGTCTCCTGTTTGTTGGACTGAGGTAGGCGAGACAGCCGCCTTAGGACCTGACATTGTACTCGAGACTACTGAGAAGATTAAGTTGATAAGACAGAGGTTACTTACAACTCAGAGTCGACAGAAGAGTTATGCGGATAAGCGGAGACGGTCGTTATCCTTTGAGGTGGGAGACCACGTTTTTCTTCGGGTTTCTCCACGGAAGGGATTGATGAGATTCGGGAAAAGTGGCAAGTTGTCTACACGATTCATTGGACCATTTGAGATTTTGGACCGTGTAGGAGAGGTTGCCTACAGACTTGCTTTGCCACCACAGTTGGATAGGGTCCACAATGTTTTCCATATATCGATGTTACGGAAGTACGAGCCAGATCCATCTCACATTTTGAGTTGGGTTGATGTAGACATTGATGAGGATGTTTCCTACGAAGAAGGACCAATTCAGATCCTTGACACACAACAGAAGGTGTTGAGGAACAAGACGATACCCATGGTGAAAATCCTTTGGAGACACCACGGAGTCGAGGAGGCTACTTGGGAGCTCGAACAGGAGGTTCGCTCCAAGTATCCAGAGTTGTTTTCTTCTCCAAGTATGTCCTGATTTCGGGGACGAAATCTTTTTTTAAAGTTGGGGAGAATGTAAAGTTTTTGACTTTTCAACTGTGGGGCCCACTTGAGTTATAAGGGTCATTACAGACCCATTTAATCCCAAATTGCTTTCTCTCTCGGGCAGCTAAATCTCTCTCTCGCTGCTTCTGTTTTTTTTTCTTTTCTTTTTTCTTTTTCAACTTCAATCCTTGATTTCTCTCTCAATTCTTGGCGGATTTAGGTGCTGTTTGAGGCAAAACGACGAACACGACAAGCTCTACGTGCTAGTACCAGAAATTCCAGCTTTTGGTCCTCTTTGGGAGCTCGAATTTAAGGACCCAATTTCAAGGGTTTGGTTCAATTTAGAGGTAGGGGCTCTTAATCCATGTTTTCTTGCTCCATTCTGAATTATATCTCTCTTGTTATGACAAGCATGTTTAATTTGGAAGTTAATTGTTTCAATGATTATATAAATGATGTTTAGGAAAATTCATGATTATGAATATGAGTAGAAAAGCATGCTTAGAGGTTGTCTTGTTGTGTTTAATGTTTTGATAATTCATTTGGAGATGTTGAACATGATGTATGCTTAATTTTGTGGTGTAAAATTTTGTGTTGTCTTGTCGTGTTTAATGTGTTGATAATTCATTTAGAAATGTTAAATATGATGTATGCTTAATTATGTGGTGTAAAATTCTAAATGCCATAATATTGAAAGCATGGGATATATATACATATACATACCATTGGGTTTGCATGAAATGGGAGAAATTGTTCTTGAAATAAATATGGGGAATTTCAGGGAAGTGTTTTTGATGAAATGGTTTTATGCGAAACCCGGTCGCTGAGGGGTTACCAACGGGCCGGAGGTTAATATAGCCTAGAGGGGACTAGGGAGTCGCCCTAGCGTGGTTGAGCTAGCTGGGCCCCATAATGACGCCGCGGGGTTACCAAGGGTCAGGGACACTAGCCAATCCTCCTCTCGTGTCACGGCGGGGCTACCAAAGGGCGGGCTGTATTAACGGTTTGGAAATGATGTTTTGGATTATGAAAATGGGGAGCGACATCGGCATGCATTTGCATTCCATGGCATTGCATTGTTTGTACTTGAGTTTGGTTGAAATGTTGTATTATCCCGACACTGTATGATCCCCATTCCTATTGATCTATTCTTTGTATGGATTCACAAGGACACAAGATGCGTGTCTTAAGTGTCACCTACTGAGCATATAGCTCACCTTGCATACTTATTATTTTTTTTCAGAAAACGGGAAAGAAGTGGCGGATGACTTTCCACCACAGGCCTAATCTGAATTAGAAGACTTCTTTTGCTATTTTTGTATTAAGTCCCAAATTTTTGTAAAATCTTAGTTTGTTATATTTGATATAGAGATTCGTGAACTCTTGTTATTGTAACTATATTTTGGGACTGTAATTATGATAATTTGGATTAAACGGTATGTAGATGTTCCACCATGAAATGAGCCACGTTGAGGTATAATGAACGGATGAATGGGATGCTAGAGTATATTTTTTTTATGTGTTTTGTGTATTGGGACAGGTTGTTGAAGGCCCATTTTTAGGGGAGGTTATGCCGAATTTTTTTAAATTTTGGCATCAGCTAGGGTCGTTACAAGGATCATACTAGGCTGGAAAAGAATACGACATCAAATCCAATTTCAAAGTAACAATACCATGTCATGATATGTGATGCCATGAATGTCGCTCCTCATACTTAAAATCACTTCCATTTTTTACTTTTCAAACTGTTAATGTAACCCCCTTCGCTAACCCCTCAGCGCCGAGAGAAGGATTGGCTACTGTCCCTGACCCTTGGTACCCCCGCGGCGTCATTTGGGGTCTAGATAGCTCAACCACTCTAGGGCGATCTCCCTAGTTCCCTCTAGGTTATATTAACTCCACGGACCGTTGGTACCCCCGTGGTATCCGGGTTTTTATAAAAATCATTTTATCAAAATTTATTCTCCCAAAAGTCCCTTTCACTTTCATTTCAAAACATTTTCCTCTTTTCTTTCATGCCCAATGCTAGGGATGCATGTCATGTATTTTTCCAATAATATAAAAATAAAGAAGTTTACACTTCACAATTTAACATGCTTCTTCATAGAAATTTCTAAAAAAATAATAAACACCATGGTATTGAAATTAACATTTAAACATGCTTCTCACATAATACCATCAACACGAATAAACACAAACTCTTTATTATAACAATTATATCATTTTCAAGGCAAACAATTTAAATAAGGCATGCTTTACAAGAAATTCTAAAAAAATTTATACATGCTTCCATACATTATTTCTAGCAATTAGTAATATAATAGACATAGGAATTCAATACTTAAGCATGTTTTTCATACACATCAATTAATAAATAAAATCAAGAACTTTATACACCACAATAAAATCATTCTAGGATTAATTAACATCAATTAAATAAGTTAGTAATAATTAACAAGAAATTGACTCACAAAAGAACAAAAAATTAGGAATTAGAAACTCCTACCTTGAAAAAGAACTTTTTCACACTAAATCATCAAAGCTTCAAGCTCCAAGACCTCCCTTATTTCTCGAACTCTCAGCGCACTCTGCCTTCACGCTCTGTATCACTCTAATTTTATCTTGCGTTCTGTATTACCAAAGTCACAAGCAGATACATATACAGAGAAGGTCCACCGACACAATAAATATCTCAATACAACTCACTAACAAAAATCATTTCAATTGTAAGCTTATCACTAAAGTAGACCCCTCCACTATCACTTTACTTTCGGCTGTCTCCTTTTTATGTCCTTGTCTCTTTACATTTGATTCATTGCACAATACAAAGCCATTTGCACGCCAAAGTCAAACAAAGTTGCCCAAACAAAGCCTCAAGTGGGTCCCGCATCACATCATTTCTTTTTCTCATACTGCATTTCTTTCCTCACTATTCGGTGGCAGGTGCATCTCCTTTGCACCAGACCCTGTATATCTACATATGTCTAAATAAAGTAACTAAATCAACAAACCTTGTGAGACCCACGAAACTCACTACATTTCCATCACCATTTTCCCTTCAATTTTGCTGCATGCTATGCACAAATATATATATATATATATATAACAATTGAAAATCAAACCCATTATTCTTCAAAACAAAAAAAAGTCACGTGGGACCCGCACCAAAACCTTTTTCAATTTCACTCACTCTTTGTCACCTGCGGCAGGAAGTTTCCTTATTCCATCAGACAGTTATATATATATATATATATATATATATATAACACAAAATTACAAACTGCAAGTCTCCAATTAATTAAATACTCAATCCTAACTAAAAATCACGAAATATAGATTAAATTAAAATCGTAAACATCCGGTCACCACACCAATCCCAAAAAACGAAGTGGTGTATTTGTTTTGCACAATTTAATCAAGCAGCAACAAACAACAATATGTAAAATTGTGCACGAAGTTGAAGTACCCGGGGGGGGGGGGGGGGATGAATCTACATGTCCTTCCACTTCCACGCTCTTGAGACAACCAAACCATAGTAGATTGAAAAATCATATTCATTGAAAATCGGGGTCAACATGAGGAAAAATAATACTGAAGTCTAGATTTTCAAAATATATATACATTATCAACCATGGAATGCCCCTGTGCAAGTGCGTAGAAATCTGACATAGGCACAGTAAATACAGAGTCATTGATGCAATATGCATCCATACTTGAAAATGATACATTTCCGTAATAAGAAGTTTATACGGATATATACACAAATATTTCACATTAAAGTGTCAACAAAGAAAAATGTACTACCGAATTGGAACGTCTCATTTCATAAAACAATATGATGTCCTTGTTATGATTGTACGAAGAACACCTAGACTTTACCAGCTAAGCTACTATTGGGCACCGACATCCCATCCCATCCGAAATTTTATACTACTAAGAATCATTTTTGTAACACATACAATACACAACAAATTCTTATTCCTCATTACTTAAACAAACACAACCCTGGATTAAAGTAAAAGAATCAAAATTCAGAACAAAACAATGTTGATAGCTTAGTACTTACCCACTTGCATCGGCAATTTCTCTGGAGATCTTCATCTTCTTTGTTGTACCCTTATAAAGCTCTTCAAGGGTACAAGGCACAGTTTGCTCAATTGGAGAGGCTTTGCGAGGAGCAGGTGGGTGCATGTGCATTGATCCTCCACCTCTTTCTCCAAAAGACCCAAAAATATCATCACCAAATAACTCACTTGAGAAGCTGGACTCCCCTCTCATTCCTCCACCACCACCACCACCACCCATTCCTCCAGACGGGCTTGAAAAACCGAAAAACTCCGAAAATATGTCATCTGAGTTCCTAGGATTGAATCTAAATGTAGTCGGCCCGTCTCCGGTTGAGAAATAGGTAGCTCCGCCTGGTACGCCGCCATCTGGTGGAGGTGGCACCTGACCCTTTAGCCCGTCTTCACCATATTGGTCATATATTGCTCTTTTATGCGGATCACGTAGAACCTGAAAAAGTTCACATCTCAAACAGAAAAACCCATTAATTTTAAAATTAAATCATTTCGGTGGCAATCTTAGAAAGCTAAATTAAGAGGCAATCACAGATACCCATATAGCAAGATCAGATTTTGAGATCGAATTCCTCTATATATATATACAATTTTAATTATATAAGGGGGTAATCTTGCAATTGATGACGCATTGGTGAACATACATACCTCATAGGCTTCAGAGATCTGCTTAAACTTGGCTTCTGCTTCTTTCTTGTTATTGGGGTTCTTATCGGGGAGCCACTTCATGACCAGCTGTCTGTAAGCTTTCTTCAAGTCATCATAATTGGCCTTCCTATCCACCCCCAATATCTTATAATAATCCACCGCCATAGCTTCCTCTCTTCTCTTCCTCTTCCTCTTCTTCACTTTGCTACATATTTTACAATACTTCTACTTATTCCAAGTTATGAATTGTCTTACATCAGGCTTTGCATAGCTTACATCTGGTGCATATGTGATTGCTTAGATCAGGCTTTACTTACATCATCGCATACAGCATCAGGTTTTGTTTACGTTAGTGCTTACTCCTGTAAAGGTAGATTTGTTGGTTATAAATAACCCTTATATCTCATAGTTTCAAATCATTCGAAAATTCAAGAGCATTCAAGTAAGGATTAATTTGGATCAAGAAAAGAGAGGTTGAGTAATATTTATTTTCTCATTTGCGAGTCTTTTGTAACTTTTTGGATTTTGATATAAATACATTGATCTAGAACTCCTATGAACGTAAGTACATTGTCGAATTATATAAATTTTTGTTTTCTTTTTGTGTGAGTTTTTTCTTATTTATTATTTTATGAGTGCATTCTTATTACAACCACCATTATTTATTTGTTAGTCCCCGCTTTCGCACAACATTTTCTAACTATGCCTATCAGATTGGGTGTGTGGACGAGGTTTTGGCTTTAGAGTCTTGCTTGAGAGTTGTGGTAGAACTTTTATTTGAGAGAGAGATGGAGGAGGGAAGAATGAAGAAGAGAGGAGAGTTGTCTGGAAATTAAGATGAGAAGTACGTGAAACGTTCCTGAACTAGCCTTCAACTGACCTCCGTATCAATCTTCATTCTGACAGTTGGCAACAATTATAGCTCCGACCTCTGTACTTTTAGGAAAACTACTACTCTATTTTTACCATGCAACAAACAGTGAAAGTTTAGATCCACTTATGCCTTTTGATCCATAAAACCCATACGAGGCCCGCAACAGGATCATGATCATGGCCAGGTACATTTTGTGATCCACCTCTATCTGGTGCCCTTTATGTTAACAATTTCACACCCTATATCCGCGTCATTACATTGTGCAATTTATTGGGAAAAAAAATTCAATTGGCCCCTCCAAAATTTTTCAAAACATTTTTATTGGCAAAAAATAAATAAATAAAAATAGTTTTTTTTTTTTTTTTTTCATGACAAGAATAAAGATTTATTTCATAGGAAATCAATTGGTTACAAGCTTGTCCTGATCCTGAATACCATCAGGCAAAACATTAGTAAAAGTAAACTCTCTATGGGACCCCAAAGCCAATTGACCCACCTGATGGGCCAAGTCATTAGCTTCACGAAGAACAAACGCCACTGAGAAGAACTGATGAAAAAGAAGAACGTTCTTCATATCATCAACCACAATATCTAAATGTGGAGGGCAAGGACCGGACTTCAAAATAGCTTTCACCACTACTTCCGCATCGGTTTCAAAAATGACTATATCAAAACCCCATTGAAGTGCCTGAAGCAGTCCTTTTCTTAATACTAAAGCCTTTGCCAAAGAAGGATGTGAAACATACAGGAAAAGAAATCCAGCTCCTCTCAAAGAACCAGCATGATTACGAACCACAATACCTCCCCCAGCAATACACGATTTAGAATCAAAAGCGGCATCACAATTAATCTTTACAAAAGAAATAGGAGGACAATTCCACACAATACTTTGACGCGTAACATGCCCTTTTGAATTTCTGGAAGAAAGATGACCCACCTCAAGAGCATCAACATACTCGGTACAATGTTTACTTGCCACTTCGGCTATATCATCAGCTTTCCACCATTCCTGTTTGTAAATCCAAGCATTTCTCGCTTTCCAAATTTGCCAACAAATGCACGCAACCAAACTCTGCAATTTACCCAAATGATCTCGAATGGAACAATAGTGAATCTGCTCTCTCCACCATGCATCCCATTGCCCATGAGATGCATTCCCAAAATCAATTCCAATTTGAGAAGCCTGCCAAACTTGAATAGAACGAGGACATCTACAAAATAAATGACTCACTGTCTCCGGCTCCAAACCACAAAGCAAACAATTCAAATTAGTGCCCATATTTCTATGAACAAGGGTTTCCATAACAGAAATCTTATCAAGAAGACATTTCCATATAAAAATCCTAATTTTGGGCTTCACCTTTAACTTCCATACTATAGACCACTGCTTTGCTTTATCCACATTATTACTGCTTTCTTCCCCATTTTGAGCTTCAACCATCTGATCCTTTTCTTCCAAACCCAAAGCCAACTGATAAGCCGACTTAACTGAAAACTGACCATTAGAGGCATATAACCAAAAAGGCCTGTCCCTTACAGCAGTACAACTGAGTGGAAGATTAAGAATCCGTTCCCAATCTCTTTTGTCAAAAAACTGCTTGATGAGGCCTACCTTCCACCCCTTAGACACTGGATCTATCAAATCTACCACCCTAAAAACTGACGGGTCAACAATTTGAGAATACAACCTGGGATTACCCTTATCAGGTATCCAATAATCATCCCAAATTCTCATATCCGTCCCATCCCCCACATGCCAACATAGACCTTCCTTCACTAAATTTTTTGCCTTAATAATACTCTGCCAAGCCCACGAAGCATTAGACCTTTTAGTAGCGTCCAAAAAATCACAATGAGGGAAGTATTTGCTTTTCAACAAGTGATACAGTAGACCTTTTCTTTCAACTTGAAATCACCACCCATGTTTTGCCAAGAAAGCTAAGTTAAAAGCATGTATATCGCGAAATCCCAATCCCCCATTTGCCTTTACCTTTGTTAACTGCTTCCAATTAATCCAATGAGTCTTATCCTTTCCATTTGAATCCGCCCACCAAAATTTTGAAATCTGCCCGTGTGCAAGTACATACGTCTTGAGACAATTTAAAGCAAACCATAGTATACGCAGGGATAGCCTGGAGCACACTTTTGATAAGAACCTCTTTACCTCCTGCAGATAGCAATTTCCCTTTCCAACTTTGAATGTTGTCTGACACTCTTCTTTCTATATAGCTGAAAACTTCCTTCTTTGAACGACCCACAACTGACGGTAAACCCAAATATCTCTCTTGCACACCTTCTCGAACAATCCCTAAAAGATCACGTAGCTCCATCCGCAACTGCTCATCTGTGTTCTTGCTAAAGAAAGTAGCCGACTTTTCCAAATTAATTGCTTGACCTGAAGCCGTCTCATACTCTCTCAAAACAACAACTAGCCTTTTCACCTCTTCTTTATCAGCTTTGCAAAATAATTAACTGTCATCAGCAAATAGGAGATGGGAAATCTTAGGGGCTCGCCTAGAAATCTGAATTCCAGAAATCTCACCATGGTTTAAAGCAGTAGATAACAATCGCGATAAACCCTCCACACAAAAAATTTACTTTTATTTGAGAAAAGGTCTACTGTATCAATTTATTTGAGAAAAACCAAAAAAATTACTTTTATTTGAGAAAAGCCAAAAAATTTACTTTTACATTGTGCAATTTATTGGGAAAAAAAAATTCAATTGGGCCCCTCCAAAAATTTTCAAAACATTTTATTGGCAAAAAATAAAAAAATAAAAATAGTTAGCTTGGAAACAAATATAACTTATAATTTTCAAAATTAAATTTTAACTTGAATCGTTTTAGCCTTTAATAATATTCATATGCGAGTATTTGAAGCTAGGAAGAAGTGAAATTTGAAGTGCTATGATACAAAAATGACAAAAATGTCAATAACAACAAATAATATTATAGGGTCGTGATAGATAGGCCGATGATTTTGGCAGATTAGTTTGGCAGAATACACATGGTAGTCCAGGTAAACAATTTTAACAATTAAAAAAAGAATAAATAAAATAAAAGGAGAAATATTTCTTACCATCTTAACTTGAAGAAAGAAACAACCTTTGATTTTTAGGGTATGGTTGCAACTTCATATCATATGTCATATTCATATATATATATATATATATTAGAGAGAGAAATAGAATGAGAAAAACAAAGAAAGGAAAGGGAAAGAGAAAGAGAGGGAAGTATTCTTCGGCGCCGACGAACCAGCTTCAGAACAGACCCACTTTTTGCTTCTTTCCCGGTGAGTGAGATATTAGAGAGAGAAATAGAATGAGAAAAAGAAAGAAAGGAGAGAGAAGAGATAAGAGAGAGAGAGATGGAAGTGGCCTAGCTGGACAGGCCACATAGATTCTGTCAAAGTAATCGGCCAGATACTTCAGTTGAAATATCATTTTCCAATATTATATAAGCTAATATTTTTAGGTGTCACTTGTTAAATAAAAAATTCAATAATTACTCCTTATATAAGTTATTAAAGTATTTTATATTTTGTTCCTAATAATACTGTTTTATAAAAATGTGTGGAGTTTTGTTTAAAATGATACTTTTTATCATTAGTCTCTCATCAAGTTAATAATTATATATCTTTCTCAAACTATAATCGAAGTACTTTTATTTTGTTCTTTCAAAATTTGAATTTACCAGAGACAAAATTAAAATTTTAATTAACAATAGTTTTGCTTTACAACTTCTCTTATTACATATAACTTATCATTTTTTCTTCTCTATGTGTTTTCTTTTTCCATATCAATTTTTCATCTCTTTTTATTTCAATTGCAATTTTCTAATTTTTGAATTATATTTCCCTCTGTGCATATACCAAGACTAATATTGGAGAAAAAATTATATTACAATCGATTTATACACGTAAGTAAGACAATGCATCATTGCTCTGTAATACATGGAAGAGTATGAGAATAAGGGTGTGAATCTATTCAAATATATTTTATTTAATTATATCTATTAGATCGAGAATATAACAAAACCATTAAACGAGTAAAAATAATAATTTCATCTATTATGTTTGTCCAGATTAAAGTTGCATAGTTTATTGACTATCATTTTGCACGCAATCGTTTTAATGATGTTTCAATGAAATCCAAGCAAAGTGATCTTTCCACACAAATCAAATAAGACTCAAATTATGTTCGCAGTAGTAATCCTTATGATGCGTAAGAAGGAAAAAAATTGAATGGAAAAGAGAAAAAAAAGGATGACTGAGATATTCCTGGAGAAGAGATAGGGTTTCTCTCTTTTTATTTGGTTAGATGGAAAAGAATAAAAAAAACTGACAATTTAATTTGATCGGTACAACAAAAAGAAAGATAAATTTTTAAGTTATTTTTACCATTAAAACCATCCCTTACTTTATTTATGGAATTTATTAAATATTTATGAAGGGTAATGTAGTAATTAAAAATTTCTATAATAAGTTCACTTGTTTTTCTCATATCTTTCATCCATATTTGTGCAAATGAAAATTTGTAAAAGAGTACTCATCCTTCTTATTATCCTTTATTTCCTTATATCAGTATTTTAGTCGGCTTCCTATTATTCTTTATTTCCTTATATCAATATTTTAGTCGGGCAAATTTCTGAATACCTTGATTACTTAAAAATAATATACATACATACATATATATATATATATATATATATATATATATATATAAAAACTGACTTGACACTGAGGATTGAAATTTAAGTGGGTAATTTTTATAGATAATGCTATTACTGTTGGAGAGAAATTTTTGCTAAAAGTTCAGTTTGCATTTGCTATTATTAGTAGTTGATTTTTATTGCCAAAAAAAAATTTATTCGTGTCCAAATCGTTGACTCTTTCTCATCTTGGTGTGGACACCTTAATTTAGACATGGTAAATTGGTTATGCCATTCAAGCATCTATCTCCCATCTGGGAACTCATGGAGTCATGTGAACCCCAAAAGTCTGTCCATGGCGTTAATGCCTGGAATTATACTTGTCAACACTCTTTTGATCCATTTCAATTATAGGGTGCTGTCACATGCCCCATGTCTCTACTCACATAAAATAGATTCACCAATTCGAATTAGGAGGATGTATCTTTTTCCACGATTTATCAATTCAAATTAAGAGGATGTATCTTTTTCTAGTCAGATTTGATATGATCCTAACACCTAATTTCAGAACAAATCATACATCAATCAAATATTCAGACTTTTGATATAGAGTCCATTTTTTGTATCTAACATTGTGTATTGTGTATCGCTCGCTGAATGCAGTAGATAGATGAGAGAATAGCCATGGAGGGTACCGAGGATTAGGCGTCTTGTTGTATGGATATCAACTAAGAGAGTTGGATCAAGAATAGTGATTAGACTTAGGTTGTAGGTACATTTCTTTCTTCATATTTAGTAGATTGATTTACCAGCTGGTTAGGTTTGGTGATCTTTCCACGTTAACATCTGGTATGCATGATCGTGGATTATCTTACTTTTATTAATGTACTTTAAATTACTTATTATTATTATTGCATGATTGATAATGTATTCAGAAGCATAATATATTCCATGATATCAATTATTCACAAGCATAATACACAACTACAACCTCATCCTCTACACTTCCTTCAATCCATGTCCCTACCCACCTCCAACCACACATTAACCCACATATTTAGTAGTGATTTGCTTCTTTTATTTCTTTCCTTCCACACATGATACACAAAACTAGCCAAACCTAATTTTCAAACCATGACTCGGATTCTTTTCAGTTTTTGTTTCCAGTTGGAGGCCCAAATTAAGAAATCTTTCCCAAGAGTTTGGGTTTGTTTAAGCTAGTCCATATGGTTCGTGACTATCTACATTGATGGAACCTAAGTCACATAATTTTTTTCAACACTTGCTGTCTAACTTGTAATTCTGCTATTCACATCAATCGAAAACTAATTGGTATCAAAAGAATACCACGCTATCAGAGTCGAACATCCCCAGTACTTTCAGCACTGAATATCATGAATGCCCAGTCCTCCTGCATGCTTGGGACTGCATACCTACCTGTTCCCATTCAATCTTTGCTCTATATTTCGCCATACCATTTACCTCCCCACAAGAATCTCTACATGATTTGATTCATTTTGTCACAAACTTTTGCCGGTATGATGAGCAAATTGGTCCAGTAAATATGCATACTAAATAGAGTGGCTTGGTTCAGTTGCGATCTTCCAGCAAAACAAAGAGCTCTAGCTGTGCAACTTGTAATTCTGCTACACAGTGCTATTCATATCAATCGTAAACTAGTTGGTGTCAAAAGAATACCACACTATCAGAGTCGAACATCCCCAGTACTTTCAGCACCAGAAGACGTGAAGAAAATTACAGAACGACCTCAAACTCTCCCCTCGCCTAGCCAAATGTTAAAAACTTAAAATTCAAGAGAATAAACACACACACACAGTGGGGTCCAATGACAGGTCCGTCTCATCTTTTAAGGAGACACGAGCATGCATGAGAACACACATTATGTGCTACTAATAAGAAGGCGGTTTAAGACCCAAGGACAAATTTACAGACAACTTCTATCTGTTGGCACCCATTTTGGTGAACAATTGATCTGGTCTTCGGTTGGGGTAGTATGATACAGTTAGGAGAATGTTGGGCTTCACTCGTCACATGGATTGTGGTTGGTTTGGATGACATGGCAGAAATTACAAAGGAACAAATCTACATACAAGGGCGTTGCAAATAGGATAGAAGATGTTTGAATTGTAATTACATTAGAGAAGAGTTATATATTTATCTTGTATTTGAATGGAGTTAAGAGTTAGTATTTAGTTAGGATTAATTAGATTTGAATAATTATTTAGATGTATTATAACACAACTAGGATGCTTATATTTAGATTTTTGTTTTACTATTTACTCTACAAATAAACATAGAGGCATGCTGTGCAAAAGGTCCAGCACCCTCAGAATCTTTTAAGTTATTTGTTTGCTTTCTCAAGTCCTTTCTAAGAATAGCATCCTTGCTATTTCTTCTTTATCTCTATCTCTCTATCTCAATCTCTTGATCTCTCTCTTTCTCCCTTCTCATTCTTCTCCTTTCTCTTCTTGCTATATCTACTTTCTTCCCCTTTCTATTTTCTTGTCACGTTACTATAAATTGTTTATGGAAAGTCCTTTTAACTAAGGCATTTTTGAACTCAAAAGAGGAATTTTATTATTCCCTTTTTCCTCGCATCGTCTGAAAGTCAACCTTCTCAAAGGGACTAACTTTGACTATTCACAATCGAATCACCCAGGTGGTTCTGGCATGCCCGGTTTACATCAAATTAAGATCGACTCGAGTTAGCCGATTTTAGGGTCAACATTCTTGGCACACCCGGTGGGACCCCATAAGGTGAGCAAATTATAGTAAAAATGCCTCCAAAGCTAAGAAATTCGAAAGGTGTGGCTACAGGTGACAATACTGATGAAGAAAATCAACAGATCAGCATAGGCGATGTTGCCGACTCTTTTATTCCATCCGACGTTCCTTTGGGTCGGGTACTGGAATCAATTATGCAAAAAATCGATGCCTAGCAAGCACAGATCGACGAGGTGAGATCTCAAATGGGAGAATCAAATCAGCTTTTGGTTTCTCAAATTCATGAGATGAGGTCGATGACGGGGGAGTTAAACCAAATGATGTACGCTCAGTTGGAGAAGATGAATCAAAAACTTGAAACCAATATATCGGCTAATCAAAGCTGACATGATCAAGCCGAAGCATCTCATGCCAATGAGTCCATATTTTAGCATATGACGGCGCCATTGGTACATATATCCCAAGGGCCTCAAACAAGCACCGTACCGCCAAGTGCAGGACTTGGTATTACAATTGACAGTGTGCCGAATCATACACTCGGCATGCCAATGGGAAATCCACCAATCTTATCAGGTCCGCTAGTAGTGAATACAGTGCCGGTGTACCAGCCACAAATGAATGATCAGCATGTGCAGCGTCCCAATGTGCAGCCGATTCCACTAGTGAGAGATCAGCAAGAAGTGGTCGGCAATTGTGATACCCCTCGGATCTGAGACACGGATTGATCAGGCCCAGGCCCAAACATGAGGGAAATATCAAACAATAAATACTTTAATGAACACAGAATACAAGATGAAATAATAAGAAATAAATAAAAATAGCTAAAAAGAACCCTAACTGAAAATCCTCAAAATAATAACATAAAATCCAACTCCAAAACCTCCAATTAATTAACAATTCGGGAATCCATCTAGTGGACCCCTAATAAAAATTTCAACTGTAAAATGAAATAACTGAAATATGATCCAAGGCTAATAAGTAAGCAATCCTACGTAGTCGGTGCAATAGAAGTCTGTATCTGCTCTGCACGACCAAGCTCTAACCCTGGAACTGATGAGCACCTGAAAATAATAAAAGAGTGGGTCAGGCCCACATACAAATCCTGATCTACTATGATCCAAACAAGAATCCAATACGCAGATACATCTTAAATAGACTCAACAATATCTAGAGTAGTCCATATATGTATATACTACACACTATAGGACGCTCACTAGTCCAATAGGTCTGTCTCAGCGTGAGTAGAGATACCATGCAAATCGCACATTACGTGGTCATGTGTACCTAGACCTACCAGGGAACAACACCTCTGCTCAGCTATCCATCCTAGGCAATATACGCACCCTAACCATGGTCATGAAACTCAAGCTCATACCATGGCATCATAACATAAATATGTAAAGTCCGTGTCCTCCTAATACAGAATACTATCCATCTGATATAGTGGCTCGATATTTGTATAACAATTCATCCCAGAAATCTAATTATGTCATTCAGTTACTTACTGACCTGACACTAACAGAAGTCAGACTTAACTTTTATTGTTAATCTGAACCTCAATCCAGATTAGGTAGGCTGAGTGTTTGAACCAATCCATACCTGGTATGCCACCGTCCCATACCGGTGTATACTATCCTCCAGTTAACATAGTTGACAAAATTAGTATAATTATTAATCAACCACATTCCAAAATAAGCGTAAGTATAGTTTAACATGGGTGTAACTAAACCATGCCTCCACTGAAAGATTCAGAATCCAAGTTTCAGTCCATTAAATTGATAAAACAGGTTTATGCAACTTGCTTCTTCAAACAGTACCATAACTGGTGCATTTATGTATAGATTTAAGCATCAGTTTATTCCAACTAAGCATACACATTATTGAACAACAACATGCTTATAACAGAGCTGCAAAACATGATTCAAAATTTAAGAACATGCAAAGAAATCAAATTGCAAATCAGTACCCAACCTAGGTTGATTATTCAATTTTCCACATACGGTTCTGTGTTTCACCTTATGTTAATTTCGTCCCCAATAACTAATTGTAAACATGTTTTTCAACATATTCTTAAGTCCTGAGCAATGAACTACACCATCCAATATCCTTTAAACTGTTTTAGGAAACACAGTCTCAGCCAAACAGAACATAAAAACTCAGTTTTATGCAATACCAAGAGAAAAAGAAGGCTCTTAAACTCAGAGAGCCTTCTTTATTCAAGGAGAGCCTTCTCTACTTCAAGGAGAGCCTTCTCCACTTCAAGGATAACGTCTGTTCTTCTGTTGTCTTCTCCGACTCCGGTGGTTTCCAGTCTTTGAATTCAGTTTTATTACATGTTTTATGGTTCCATCCTCATCCCAGATTGATCACAAGATAGAATTATACAACTAAGAATTTATTTACATATCAATGTTTAAAGCAAATAACAACCATATATACACTGCACTTGTAACAACAGCACAACAGATTTAATTCAATGATGCTAAAAACTGATTTAACATGTATAAACGATGTAATTAAAACTTAGTTTAATTCCTGGAGTCTAACTAAGCATGCACAGAACACAGATTCATAGGAAAGAAAAGAACAGAGACTTGCCTTTGAGTTTCAGATTGGAAACTCTAATTCCATAGTTTCTATATGATATGTTTGTGTCCTAAACTACAAGTCTGCTCCTCCAGTGCTTTGGTTCAACCTAGAAACACCTCGTCCAATTATCCTTGAACCTCTCTGGTAACCTTTCTAGTTTTCGCTCTCTGTTTCTTTCTGTCTCACAGTATAAGTGAATAGGATTTTGTGTGTAACCCTAAACAACTGTATAATGAATATATATATAGGCACCACTAGACTTTAACCTAATTCTAATTCCTTTAGGAACAGGAAACATAACCCCAGAATCCATTCTCTAACCAAGTCGGCGACATGCGGGTAAAGTAAAACCCTAATACTATTAAAATAGTTAACGTAAACAGTTTAAATTACGTAATATTAAAGCACTTAATTTAATTAATTCAAATATCACAAATAAATCATATAATTAATTTAATAATACAAATAATTCAAATAAAACAAATAACTCAAATAAACACATAATTCAAATTAAATAAATAATTCAAATTAAATAATAATCACTTAAAGCACCACAATATAAAACACATATGATCCTATAAAAAAAAAAATGCAATTAAATACCAGAAAATATGCAATTAACTACCAGGAATACCCTTTTAAAATTAGGGATATTACATTCTTCCCCCCTAACAAAAGGAATTCCATCCTCGGAATTCGCTCTTACCTTCTTCTAATATTTCAGGAAACTGCGAGCGAATGACATCCTCTCGTTCCCAAGTGGACTTAGCCTTATTGTGATGACTCCACTGAACACAAACTAATGGAATAACGTTGTTATGAAGGATTTGATCCCGCCGGTCGACAATACGACACGGTGGCTCCAAATAAGTTGCATCCGACTGCAACTCAATCTCCCTAACATCGATATGCTAATAACGATCCTCATCGCGCAGAAATTTTCGCAACATGGAAACATGGAATACATTGTGCACACGATCCAAATTATCCAGAAGTGCCAACCGATAAGCAACAGCTCTAACTCGATCCGCAATCATAAATGGACCGACAAATCACGGTGACAACTTCCCTTTCTTCCCAAAGCGTATGACTCATTTCATAGGAGACACTTTGAGTAGAACCTAATCCCCAACCTGAAACTCCAAAGCACGAGTGCGACGATCAACATAGCTCTTCTGCCTACTCTGGGCAGTACGCATGCGATCCCGAATAAGAGCGATCTTCTCAGAAGTATCGTTGATAAACTCAGGACCCAAGAATCTGCTCTCACCAACCTTCATCCAACAAATAGGCGATCAACACGGTCGGCCCTATAACGCCTCAAATGGTGCCATCCCAATAGTCTTCTGGAAACTATTGTTATAAGCAAACTCCACAAGCGGTAAATAATCCTCCCAGTGGCCCTTGAAATCAAGAATGCACGATCGAAGCATATCCTCTATGATTTGATTAACCATCTCAGTCTGACCATCAGTCTGAGGATGATAAGCAGTACTAAGGTGCAACTCTGTACCCAAAGCCTGTTGAAAACTCTTTCAGAATCCTGACACAAAGCTCAAATCCCTGTTCGATATAATAGACAATGGAATGCCATGCAACTTCACAATCTCTGTAATGTAAAGTCTCACCAACTGCTCCGAAGTGAAGTCAGTACGAATAGGCAAGAATGAGCTGACTTCGTCAATCTGTCCATGATAACCCAAATGGAATTGTGATCCTTGAAGAAATTTGGCAACCCTTCCACAAAATCCATAGAAATACTCTCCCACTTCCACTCCGATATCGGCAGTGGCTGTAGAGCTCCTGGCGGCCTTTGATGATCAATCTTGACCATCTGACAAGTCCTACATCACGAGACAAAAAGAGCAATGTCCCTTTTCATACCTGCCCACTAAAACTGCCGCTTCATATCCTGATACATCTTGTCGCCTCCTGGATGAACAGAAAACTCAGAGTGGTGAGTCATAGTCATCACATTCTTCCTTAAATCATCAGCAGAAGGTACCACTAACTGTCCCTTGTACCTAAACCTCTATCAGCCCCAACATAGTAGAATGGAACCTCTCCTGAAGCTATCTCTGCAACTTTATCAATACACTGCTGATCCGTGAGTTGTGCCTTCAAAACCTTGTGAATGATAGAAGGTGTAACTACCATGCAAGCCATGAAAGCATCCGACAACTCATCCACTATCCTCAAAGTATTCCACTCAGTGGTAAATAGAGCAGAAAGACTACCGACAGGTCGGCAACTGAGTGCATCCGCCACCACATTCGCTTTCCCTAGATGATACTGTATAGAAAAGTGATAGTCTTTTTCAAATTCCAACCATCTGCGCTGTCTCATATTCAGCTCCCGCTGAGTGAACAAGTACTGCAGACTCTTGTGATCACTAAACAATCTAAAGGACTCACCCAACAGATAATGCCTCCAAATCCGTAAGGCAAAGACCACAGCTGCCAACTCCAAATCATGCGTTGGATAATTAAGCTCATGAGACTTAAGCTTCCGAGATCCATACAAAATCAGTCGCTCCTCCTGCATCAGAACACATCCAAGACCCTGCAACGAAGTAGCCATGTAGACCAGACACTCTATCCCACTCTATGGGGTAGACAAAACCGGTGCAGAAGTCAACTTAGTCTTCAGCTCATCAAAAGCTTTCTGACAATGTTCATCCCACACGAACCGTACACCTTTCTTAGTCAGATAAGTAAGTGGTCCTGCTATTTTTGAGAACCCCTAGATAAACCTCCTGTAATATCCTGCCAAACCGAGGAAACTCCAAATCTCGGTAGGTGAAGTAGGCTGTCCCCACTTAACCACTGCTGAAACCTTGGCTGGATCCATCGCTATTTCCCTTTCTAACACCACGTGACCCAAAAACTTCACCTCCCGCTGCCAAAATTCACATTTCTCGAACTTGGCATACAACTGGTGCTCACGAAGCATCTGCAAAACTATCCGTAGATGTCTAGCACGATCGTCCTCAGACCTAGAATAGATCAAGATATCATCAATAAAAACAATGACAAACTGATCCAAATAGGCTTTGAAGACCATGTTCATCAAATCCATGAAGACTGCTGGTGCATTAGTCAACCCGAACGGCATCACCTGAAACTCATAAGATCCATATCTAGTGAGAAACGCTGTCCACAGAACGTCCTGCTCTCGAACCCGAAATTGATGATATCCAGACCGCAGATCAATCTTAGAAAAATAGGTAGCTCCCTTCAACTGATCAAACAAGTCATCAATCCGGGGCAAAGGATACTTGTTACAAATTGTAACCTTGTTCAACTCCCTGTAATCTATATACAGGCGGAGCGAACCATCCTTCTTCTTCACAAATAACACTGGCGCTCCTCAGGGTGAAGTACTCCTGCGAATGAAACCCTGGCTGAGTAGCTGTTGAATCTGATCCCTCAGCTCACGCATCTCCACTGGTGTCATCCTATAAGGTGCCCTACCAATAGGCGTAGTACTTGGAGCTAAGTCTATCACAAAGTCGATCTTGCAACTAAGCGGCAACCCTGGAATCTCCTGAAATACATCCGGGAAATCTTGTACAATTGGTATATTATCCAATGATACAGTAGTCCCCTCCTCCGTTTCTTCTTCCACATGGAACAAATAGGTGCTAGTGATCCTGCTAGAACGTGGCATAGCGACGACATACATATCATGTCTAGGTATGGTGAAAACAACTGACCTATTAAAACAATTAACTTAGGCAAGGTAGTGAGACAACCAATCCATCCCAAATATCACATCATAAGTGTGCATGTCCAGGACTAAAAGATTTGCTAGAAATCTGAGTCTACCAAAATTTAGTGTCACATGTCCATCCTATATGGCAGTGTTGCCTAAAACAAATATCCTAAGGTTTATTGTATAAGTGTATCACCAACCAATTTATAAAAATTCCCTGTTTCTGAATATTCCGTAGAGCAAAACATATAAAGTGAACAAAATACCCCGCAATCTTCCCATATTCAGACTATTGTTCTATCCTGGGAATTCCACCTTCTAAACCAAACCTACCATATTGATTTACACAAGTTCTCTCACAAACTCCTTGGTAATCATCCTATCTCAACATGATGTACAACAAGCAAATATCTGTTTGCCTAAGCAAAACCAATCTCTCTACTGTGATAGACATTTATGAGCCCAACATACACATTCTAATACAGCCTAATAAAACCATGTGTATATAAACCACAAAAATGCCATCACAAAACACAATAGAATAGCCAAAACTATTAGTTCACTTTATTAAGAACTTTTCCAAACCAAAACTATCAAACAAATAACCGTAAGGTATTCTTTAACATAATCCTAATATACGTGATTAAATCCGTACTACATTCTTACTAATACCTCCTCCATTACTAGTAATTCAAAGTACTCTTTAAAAAAGTAGTCATTCTTGAACTCTGGTGCCCTCCATCTTGGATACTCTGGTATCTCCCCCATCCTGATCTTCTTTGGGGTCTTCCTCTCCGCTTGGCTCAGCTTCGAGCACCACCGAAGTTGTGTTAGGTCCATAGTATGGTGGCCAATCCCGCACATAAGAAACTTTCCTTGACTTATACTCTGAAGCAACGCCTACTGGAATCAACTCCCTGGTCTCCAATTCCGCCTTCTTGGTCGGCCTTCGTAGGGGAATCACCGGAGTAACCTTCCTCGGCCTTGGGCCTATCTTTACTTTCATCGCGGACCCCATCCTTTTCCTAGTGCCAAACATTCTGCAATTACAGAATAAACTTGACATCAGTACTCTCTAAACGAACCGGGAAGGAATACTATGAATCCTAAACTTAAGCTCTAATCAAGAGATAACGCTACGCGGAAGTCTTAATACGAAACATCCTAGAGACACTTGAACCTGGAGTGCTCTGATACCAACTGTGATACCCCTCGGATCTGAGACACGGGTTGATCAGGCCCAGGCCCAAACCCGAGGGAAATATCAGACAATAAATACTTTAATGAACATAGAATACAAGATGAAATAATAAGAAATAAATAAAAATAACTGAAAAGAACTCTAACTGAAAATCCTTAAAATAATAACATAAAATCCAACTCCAAAACCTCCAATTAATTAACAACTCAAGAATCCATCTAGTGGACCCCTAATAAAAATTCCAACTGTAAAATGAAATAACTGAAATAAGATCCAAAGCTAATAGGTAAGCAATCCTACGTAGTACCAAGCTCTAATCGTGGAACTGACGAGCACCTAAAAATAATAAAAGAGTGGGTCAGGCCTACATGCAACCCAAATGATCCTCCAGGAAGAAATGCAGGGATTGATAGGGCTCAGATTTTGGCTTTAATATAGGCCGAAGTAGCACAGGGTCGCAGACATGCTCGGCCAGTATACAGAAAGCCGTATCTTGACCATGTCAATGCTCATGAGCTGCCTAGAAATTATCGGTATCCCAATTTTTCTATGTACAGTGACGAAGAGAATTTCTCTACGGTGCAGCATATTGCAAGGTTCATTGCACAATGTGGTGAAGCAGGTCCTAGCCCTTGGTTAAGGATGAGGTTATTTTCTAGTTCTCTTGCCAGGGTGGCATTTGAATGGTACAGTAATTTACCGGTAAATTCTATTCAGACTTGGGATGAGATGGAGGAGGTGTTCCATACCCAATTCTACCGAACAGAGATAGAGGCTACGCTAGCAGACATATGTCGATTATCTTAGTTACCGAGCAAATCGGTTGAGACTTTTGTTACCAGGTTCAGAAAGGTTAAACTCAAATGCCGAGTAAGTTTGCCAGAACCAGAATACATCAAGTTGGCATTGAATGGTCCAGACATTGAACATCGCAAGAGGTTTGATGGGGTTGAGTTTCAAGATCTCTTCAACTTAGCAAACATGGATTCTCGGTATGAAAAAATACTAAAAGAAGAGAAAGAAAGGAAGAATTCTTTTAAGGGTACTTGGTACAAGGACCCTAATTATGAGGTATTCTCAGCAGAAGTTGGAGATGAATTAGATGTTGACGTTGCAGAAGTCAATATCAAAAAGCCATACGTTTGTGAGGCGTTGGTTAAACCTAAACCGACCACGGGGGGCAATGCATCATCAACATCAACATCGGCAGCGAGGAAAGGTCCTGCCGATACCGGGAAGAATTATTCGTTCGACTTATCAAAAACAGATCAAATCTTTGATCACTTGATGGCCGATAAGATGATATTTTTGCCTAAAGGGCATAGGATTCCATCAGCAAGTGACTTGAAAGGAAAAAAATATTGTAAGTATCATAATTCTTGGAACCATGCTACTAATGATTGTATTGTTCTACGAGGTGTATTACAGAAGGCTATCAACGAATGTACTTTAAAGTTCCCAGAGAAAAGTTCAGAGACCATGAAAGTGGATACTAACCCATTCCCCAAGATCGCATCTACTAATGTGATAAACTTTGCCAAGTGAGAAGATCGGCAAGAGGTTGAAAATGCATTAGGTGAGTTTCTTTCATCAAATGTGACTTTTGAAAAGATGGTAGAGCTGCAGAAACAGTTGAGAGAGGCCTAATTGGCTCTGATAGATCAGGGTTGTTGCCCAAATTGCAAGGGAAAGCAGAAGTCTAAAGAAGAAGAGACAATGGAGGTTCAACCAAAGAAGAAAGGAATTTTCAAAAGACTTACCTTCCCAATCAATCCTGGTGAAAAGCCTCGGCAAGATAGTTACACTAGCAGTTGTGTGAAGGCGGAGAAGGAGAATCGGCAAGAAGATATATCTAGCCGATCTCATCCACAAAATCGGGATCTTTGTTTTAAAAGGCAGTTACCAGTTCAATTAGAAATTTGGGTACAAAAGGGAGCCAATTTATATAAGGTACGGACTGTAAAACCCAAAACAAACTCAGCGGAGGACAAATGGAATCGAGTTAATCATCCAAAATTCCCTAAAGCTCAACAATATCAGAATGAAGGCCTAACTCGATCTAAAAAAGGAGAAGGGCTGAGGTAAAAAAGAAAGCCAAGGAAAGAAGCAAAGTAGTACCAGCCGAGGAAATCGGTATTCCAGATCAACTGGATAAGGAGCATCAACCTACGTAGCCCAGACGCAACAATGAGTTCAAAATTCAGTTTGGTAATTTCCTAGATGAAATGTTATGTAATATGACATTTGTCTTACTAGCAATGTTCCAAGCCCCATCAGCATCAAATGCAAGTATTAAAAAAAAGGCTTAGCCGATTTGGAATTTATCAATTCTTTCTTCAGAATCGGCAGAGAAAGTAGTTTTCGAAAAACCATTGTTAGCAATGGCTCAACAACTCAAGCCTTTGTATGTTAAGATATGGGTAGAAGGTCAACCTATTAGTCGAGTCTTGATAGATAATGGCTTGGTTCTGAATGTTATTCCAGCTAACACATTAAAGAAACTCGGCAAGAGTATGGAAGATGTCATTCCTACTGATGTAGCAATTTGTGGTTTCAATGGAGGTTCTACTAGCACTAAAGGGATCCTTCCTTTAGAAGTAGAAGTTGGAGGAAGGACGTCTTTTGCGGCAATTTTTATTATCGAGTCCACAACTTCATATAATTTGTTATTGGGCCATGATTGGATTCATCCAAATATGTGTATTCCATCATTGTTACACCATATGCTAATTTTTTGGGATAGAGATAAGGTAAAGATAGTGAATGCCGATGACAAGCCATTTATGGCAAAAGTATACTCGGCAGATGCAATTTTGTATGATGAAGAGTGTGTTCTTATTTGATTTATGGGAACAGGAGCTGATGGAAGACCTACATCGGCAACCATGAGAAGAAGTTTCGCCGATTGTGAAATTGGCGAGTTGCAGTAGGAGAATTCTAGGCCGAAGGTAGAGATCCCTCGGCTTACTATAATTAAAGAAGTTGTTGATGGAAGTGAAACTTGAAAGGAAAGCTACTTGGCAGCAGGCCTTTAGGGCCGGTTGCTTTAGGGTACAAGCATATATAGCTGAGAAACGGCTAGAAAAAGAAGCAATAATAGAGCCAGGACCATCGGTTAATCTTACTAAGATCGATCGGTTCAATAATGAAAAGTTAGATGCAATTCAGTTGGAAGACTTGGAATTGGCACTAGCTAAGCTCGATGATCTTAAAGCAGAAACTCAGGATCCATTAAAGGAGGTGAATCTAGGCACTAACGCAAAGCCTAGACCAACTTATATCAGTGCACTGTTAGAACTAGAATTACAAGCCGAGGTTATTGGCATGTTGAAACAATACAGTGACTGTTTTGCTTGGAATTATGAGGAAATGCCAGGTTTATCTAGAGGTCTGGTAGAACATCAACTGCCCATCAAAGATGGTTACAAGCCATATAAACAACCACCTCATCGAATATCTCAAGAGGTGGTAGACAAAGTCAAAGTGGAAATCGAACGATTGTTGGATGCTGGCTTCATTCGAACTATAAGGTATGTTGAATGGTTATCAAATGTAGTTCCTGGTATCAAGAAGAACGAAAAATTACGTATATGTGTTGATTTCTGAAACATAAACCTGGCAACTCCAAAAGATGAGTATCCAATGCCGATAGCCGATCAACTGATTGATGCGGCTACAAAGCACCAAATTATGTCCTCCTCAGCTATATAAATCTGATTATAGCCTGAGTGTCTATCTATAAACCTTTGAATGGGTGGTAATACCTTTTGGGTTGAAGAATGCTAGTGCCACATATCAGCATGCCATGAATTCTATTTTTCATGATATGCTCTGCAAGTTTATGGAGGTATATATTGATGATGTAGTAGTAAAATCAGTAACAAAAAATGAGCATTTGGTTCATCTCAAAGCATCATTTGAGAGGATGAGGGCTCATAAGCTAAAAATGAATCCAATAAAGTGTGCCTTTGGAGTATCGGCAGGAAAGTTTTTGGGTTTCTTGGTTCATCAAAGGGGTATAGAGATTGATACGAATAAAGCTAAGACAATTATTGATGCTAGTACGCCGAGAAGCAAGAAACAGTTGCAGAGGTTAATTGGGCAAGTGAACTATCTTAGGAGATTTATTGCCAATACAGTTGGGAAATTACATGTGTTTCCCCGCTACTCAAGTTGAAGCCGATGGAAGAATTCAAATAGGATGATACACATCAGAGGGCATTTGACCATATTAAGAAATACTTGTCGAGTCCTCCTGTCATGATGCTACCAAGGAAGAAATGGCTGATGAAGTTATATTTATCAAATGCTGAAGAATCCATTGGAGCTATATTAGCACAAGAGAATGAAGCAGGAAATGAACAAGCAATATATTATCTTAGCCGAGTTTTAACTCCAGTCGATTGTAGATATACACCGATTGAGAAATTATATTTGGCTTTGTATTTTGCAGCAATGAAATTAAGAGTCTATATGTTACTTGTTTTGGTTTATATTACTTGTCAAACCGATCTTATAAAGTATATGCTATCAAGGCCATTAATCACATGCCGAATTGGCAAATGGGCTTTGGCACTAATGGAGTTCAACTTTGCATATGTTCCACAAAAGGCAATTAATGGAAGGGCATTGGCGGATTTTCTTGTCGATCATCCCTCGCCTGAAATTGAGTCACAAGTATTTAATGAACTTGACTTGGCATCCATATTCCTGACCCATGGACTTTAATGTTCGATGGGTCGAGTACCAGTGAAGGCTCCGGAGCTGGTATAGTCATAGTATCCCTAACAGGGAATCAAACTTCATTTTCCTTCTTTTTGAATTTCAGGTGTTCAAATAATCAAGCCGAGTATGAAGCATTAATTATTGACTTGGAAATCCTGCTAGAAATGGCAGCCAGAGACGTCCACATTGATTAATCAAAATTCAGAAGACTTTAGGTGTTTAAATTGGCAATTGAGACCATTCCATTTGTTGGCAACCCAATTGGTCAACCAATTTCACAATGTGACTTTGGAATACAGACCGAGGGCCATGAATAAAATGGCTAATGATTTAGCACAGATTGCTTCAAGAGTCAGGGTGTCGAGTAGTATGAAGGAAAGGATAATGAAAATTACACGCCGATCTCTTCCATCAGCTGAAACAAGAAATCAAGTTATGAAAGAAGTCTTTGCCACTGATGTTGCCGAGTTAGATGATGATGATTGGCGAATCCCTTACATATTGTTCTTGCAACATCCAACTCCAGAAGCCGATCGAAGAATAAAAAGAAGTGCAGTTGATTATGTGTTAATGGATAGAGATCTTTACAGAAAATCGGTTGATGATGGTTTGTTATTTTAGTACATTAGTAAGTTTGAGGGTTTGAAGATTATGGCGGAGGTACATGAAGGGATATGTGGAGCTCACCAAGCAGGCATAAAAATGAGGTGGTTGATACGTCGATATGGATATTATGGACCTGGAATGAGAAAAGATTGTATGACTTATGCAAAAGGTTGCATAGACTGTCAAAAGCATGGCCCAATGCAATGGGTTTCAGCAATAGAGATGCAATTAGTAGTTAAACCATGGCCTTTTAGAGGTTGGGCCATGGATTTAATCGGCAAAATTAATCCTCATTCATCAAAGGGTCATCATTGGATTATTTTAGCTACCGCTTACTTTACCAAATGGGTAAAAGCTGAGGAATACGTATCAGTAACTCATAACATGGTGATACAGTTTTTGGAGCGACATATCTTTCACTGATTTGGCTTACCAGAAACAATTGTTGCCGATAATGGATCTGTGTTTCGAGCAAATGAAGTATTACAACTCGGCATTGATATGCAAGTGAAAATGGTAACCTGAACACCCTATTATGCTCAAGGAAATAGCCAAGCAGAAGCTTCAAATAAAGGTATGATTGAAATTATTGAGAAGATGATAAAAGACAAGCTGAGGTGTTGGCATGAAACCCTTTCAGAAGCCTTATGGGCTTATTGAAATTCAAAAAGGATGAGTACAGGAACAACTCCATATCGGCTAACATTTGGTCATGATGCAGTGTTGCCGATAGAATTGAATGTAAAATCAATAAGGGTAGCTTTGCAACATAATCTTATACCTGCCGATTACAATCAAGCTATGCTTGCCGAGTTGGAGGATTTAGATGAGGTTCAAAAACTTGCTTTAGACCACCTTATGGTCCATAAAACAAAGGCAATGAAGGCCTACAACAAACGGGTGAAGTTCAAGTCATTTGCAGAGGGTGACATAGTGTGACAAACAATTCTTCCACCTGGAAAGGTGGATAGAGTTTATTGAAAATGGTCACCCACTTGGAAAGGCCCATACATGGTTCATCAAGTGTTGCATGGAGGAGCTTACAAGTTAACAGATTTAGATGGTGAAGTGCATGAAAGGCCAATATATGGAAGGTACCTTAAAAAATATAAGCCAACTATTTTTGAGCTTATGGAAGAAAAGAAATCTCCAGTTAAGTCAAAATAGATGGATTATATTTTGCCTTTTTGTTTTCAAGCAAATTATGAATAAGT